CAACAACAAAACCAACTGCAAGGGCCGGGGATTTAGCTCAGTGATGCCGCTGCCTGCCTAGCAAGTGCAAGGAGTTTGATCCCCCGTACCCAAAAAAACAAAAAAAACAAAAAACAACTGCAAGGGCTAACTGTGACTATTCAAGGACTGAGCAGAATAGTGCTGGATTCTGCTTCCCTTTTCTCCACCCATCTGCCTGCTATCATCACTGTGCAAAAATATTTGCTTTAAATCCTGAGAGAATTTCTAGCATGCCACGGGCCAAGACTGAAGATGGCCTCTCACCTTACCCCTATTCCTTTTCTCCTCCATAGATTAGATTATAGACCCTCAATGGTGCAGCCACAGGAGACTGTTACATTATGTATCCTTCCTGGTTTCTTTTCTGCGCATGCCTGATCACCAGGCAATCACTTTGCATTCAGCCTGGACCACATGGGCCACTTAAGCGCGAATTGCCCTGCCTTCTCCCTTGTCTTGCACTATAAAGAGCACACCGGACTGTAGGTGACCATTAGCTCATCAGGCTGTGATTTCACCTGGTCCCAGCTTTCCAGCTTAAGTGTGGTATGTATCTTTCTTTCTTGTTATTCTTCAATTTTCTTCATCTCCCACCACCCTCCCAGGCTTCCCACCCTTCACTGTGTAGGTCACGGCCCTAGCACACATGGTCCATGAGGTGTTAAGCAGAGCACAGTTCTGTTCCTCATGAAGCTTCTTCTCCAAGCCTGAACTGGTTCTTGGATCAGGTCTATCTGTCTGCTTTCTAGCTGAGGAGCCTCTGGGGCAAAAGGTTCCTGTTTGAAAGGACTCTGTCCAGAGACATCAAGTGTCCTCCGGACTTCCGCAGTCCTATGAGGAACGTACTCCTCAAGCAGGGCGGAGAATGGCTTTGGAACGAGGCTTCTAACCGTTGGTGAGTGTTACAGTTTACATCTAAATTGTCCCAGCAAAGTTCAAGTTCTGAGGTGGGGCCTGCTTGGAAGGTGTGGGTGCCCAGGGACCTGACCTGGGAAGATGTACCCCACAACTTCCCTCACCTCTTCCTGGTCACCATGGTCTCTCCCTGTTGTTTCTGCCTTGAGCTAGCCAATCAAGGACTGAGTCCATTGAAACTCTGGCCCAAAACAGTCCTCACCTCATTTCTCTTTGTATGGCAGATATGATGTCCAGGGTTGGGAAGGTGAAAACAGTTGTAAGCCTTTAGCTGTTTTCTTTGGGGAAACGTTTCTTCTACTCACTGTTTAGGGTTTTGTAAGATTCAGACCATGGCCTGGGCCACTTGGCCACACAATTTCTAGTGGCCTAAAAGGACAAGGCATAGGCACCAGGAAGGGAAGGGTGTTCAAGTAGACAGGCAAGAAACTAAACCAGGGAGTGGGAGAGCAAGCTGGAAAGGGTTGACATTGGGGACAGCTATCAGGAAGGCAAGGAAAAGCAAGGGAAGATCTGGGCAGCAAAGACTAAAGTCATTTTTTTTTTAAAGTGGGGATTAAACCCAGAGTCTTCACACTAAGCCACACACCCCCACCGCCCACTCCTCCCATTTTATTTTGAGACAGGATCTAAGTCACTAATTTTCCCAAAGTGGTCTCACACTTGCAATCCTCCTGCCTCAGCCTCCTACAGTGCTGGGATTATAGGTGTGCACCACCACACCTAGGTCATGTATTCTTCTCTCAAGGGGGTGGAAGCCTCGGGAAAGCATGGCCCACCTCTCAGGCCCATTTTACAGGTATAAGTGTAGTTTTTGTATTGTTTAAAATGGATTATTTAAGCCTTCTTTGAATTCTCTCAATCTATTCCTTTACCTGAGGATCTGATTCCTTCTCTTTACTTTCTCAATGAAGCCAACTGCTGAACTCATAGTATTTCTGAGGATTTGGGGTGTGATGGGTCTGGAAGAAAAGGAGCTTAAATTTAACCAAAGAACTCTCAACACAGCCTTGGATAACTTTTTTTTTTTTTTTTTTTTGGAGTTTTGTAACTGTATTTGAAAGTTCTCATCCACATTTACCTATTTACCTTTTGGAGATTTTTGAATGTGGTAACAGGGATGTAGGTTAACAAGAGCTTGTTGACTCTTCATGCTCATGGTGTTTCCTTTGGCCCAGACAGCTTTGTTGAGCCTGGTATCAATGCGGGTATCTGGGGTCTAAATCCCCTCATGGCAAGCTTTCGGATCTCCCTAAGAGCCCAAGGAGCCCCCTTCTTGAAGCCCACTCCATTGATGTGCTTATGAGTGCTGACGTATATTCTCAGTCCTGGCAGAACAGCCCTTCTTCTCCCCCACCCTTCTTTGCTGGAGCCATTCTGCCCCACCCAAGTTGGAAAGGAATAACGTGAGCAATTGTGGGAGGAAAAGCCTCGGTCGGTGGGTCGCAAGTACAACTTCCCAGACTTGGGTAACTTTAACTGAGTCCTGGAAGCTGCAGTCTTCTTAAAATTACAATTTGCTGCATCCTGCATAGCATAGGCTCCGAAGCAGGGGAGAGTGGTGGGAGATGAAGAAAATTGGAAAATAAAAAGAAAGAAGGATACATCCCAAAATTATGCTTTATAGCTGGGAGCAGGTGGGACCATAGCCTGATGAGCCAATAGCCGACCTTGTACAGCGCGATCTTTATCTATAGAGTAGGAAGGCGGGTACTAGTGCCACGTGATAGGGGCCTGGGCAGAAAGCGAACAAGGAAGGGCACATAATGTAACTGACTCCTGGGGCTGTGCTAACCCGGATCTATAATCTTTCACTAGTCTATGGAGGAAAAAAGGAGTAGGAAAGGTGAAGGACCATCTTCAGGCTTGGCCGGCGGCAACAATTTTTAGTTGATTTTTCTGTTTCTTTGTGTTTGAGACAGGGTTTCACTTTGTAGCAGGCTAGCAGCCATTCTCTTGCCTCTGCCTCCTGAGTGCTGGGATAACAGGCATGCGCCATCACACCTGGCTCTTATGATTTTTCTGGTCTCCTTTCCACCTGCCTTTGTTTTTCTATCCTTCCTCAAGTGAAAATTGCAGATTCTGGAATCAGCATTGACTTACTAATGGACTCGCAAAAGTACCCCTGCAATTTGGTTGTTTTGTTTTTTGAGGCAGGGTCTCCCTTTGTAGTTCAGGCTGGTCCTGAATTCACTCTGTAGCCCAGGATGGCCTCAAATTCATGGTGATCCTCCTGCCTCAGCCTCCCAAGTGCTGGGATTACGGGTGTGTGCCACCATGCCTGGCTCAAAAAACAATTTTTTTTTTTTCACCACGGATTGAACTCAGGACCTTGTGCTTAAGAAGCAGGTGTGGCACCACTGAGCTAAATCCCCAGCTGTCCCCTGCAGTTTTAAATTTATGTTTGGCTCTGAGCAGGATTTGTAGCAGAGTCAATCATTTATTAAGCATATGTTGAGCACCTGTGATACATTAAGACTTCTACTGAGCACTGTGGGGTTCAGAGATGATGGACTTTACTCCCAAGGAGTTGACAGTCTGGTAGGGGAGAAATTAAAAATCAATCAGTGACATATACTGTATTAAGTGTGATAAATGTGACAGAAAAGGGGAATGTTGTAATGATTAAGAGCTCAAACTTGCCGGGCGTGGTGGCGCATGCCTGTAATCCCAGCATTTGGGAGGCTGAGGCAGGAGGATTGCTGTGAGTTCAAGACCAACCTGGGCTACATAGTGAGTTCCAGGTCAGTCTCACTACATAGTAAGACCCTGTCTCAAAACAAACAAACACACAAACAAAAACAAACAAACAAAAAGAGCTCAAGCTTTTGGTCTCACAGGCATAAATTTGGATTCAGACTACAACTGCGGGTTGTATGATCTGGTGGTGAATTGCTAACCTTCACTTAACTTCAATGCCCTTTCATGTAATTGAGACTAACAACAGGCTAGTAATGGTGATACTCTACCTATAGTCCCAGCTACTCCAGAGGCTAAAGCAGGATCAGTGCAAGTTCCAGCACAGCCTGGGCAATGTAGCACACACTCTCCCTCTCTCTGAAAAAATAAAAATAAAATTTAAAAAATAAATAATAGTACTAGGTACTATATACAATTATTATGAGGATTAAATTAGATCATACATGCCTGGCAACTAGTAAAATCCCAATAACACTATTATCTATAACAATAGCTGCTATTTAAATGATCTGCACAAAGGTAATGTCAGGAAATGTTCCCAAGAAAAGGTGGCATTTCAGCTGAATATTGAACACAAAGAAGCTGGTTAAGTCTGGGAAGAAGCTATTGAATGCTTCTGCTTTTTAAATTATGTCCTGTCAAGATTTCTCAAAAGATTTTAGGTAAAATAATGACTTCAGTGATAGGCAGTTGAATTTGAGAAAACGGGATGCTTTGACCTCTTCATTCTAACCTCCACTATAATCCTAAATCCTACATATTTCCCAATTAAGTATGAAATGAATACAGCTATTAATCTGCTTTCATTTGGTTTTGAATATTACAGTTACAAGTAACAAGAAATAAATCTGAAGATGCCAGATTACACCTAATAAACTCGGTTTTGATTAAGAGGGGCAGGTGCACTGGTATTTACCTGTGATGTCAGGTGGATGGATCTACAACGGGGGTGGAGCCTTTTTTTGGAGTTTGAGAAGGGCTATAGATCTTGAACTCGTTGCTGTGTATTTGTTTTGGATCTGCCACAAAATAGTGCTTAGGAAACTGATAAATGCTCATCACGTGCTATGCTCCTCTTTAGCCAACTCTACTTGTGCAAGCATTATGAAAAGAGGAATTGCACCTGGAGAGTCAGCCACTGTAATTGAACAATTACTGAATATCCAAATGAACTCTCCAGCTTAGAGAATGATAATGAGAAACTGAGCCCATCAATGCTTGGGCGTCATTAGTATAATCACGATTCCTACCCAAACAATATACCATGTCTGGTCTATAAAATGAAATGTTTTTATCTTTTTAGTCCTTCTCATTCATTGAACTTTCATTCTTTAAAATTGTTTCCTCTGAATTTGCTTCTGTAGATTTCCTCCTTGTCAACCTAGCAAGGTCATGGCAGATCTAGAGGAGCCACTGTATGATGACTTGGAGAATTACTCCTATGCACTGGAATATTACTCTCTGGGGTCTGAGTTGGAGGAGGAAGAGCCCCTGGGAGCTGCTCACTGGATCTCCCTGCTGTTGTGTGGTTTGGCATTTATTCTGGGAATCCCAGGAAATGCCATCGTCATCTGGCTCACAGGATTCAAGTGGAAGAAGACCGTCAGCACTCTCTGGTTCCTCAATCTGGCCATTGCAGATTTCATTTTTGTTCTCTTTCTGCCCCTGTATATCTCCTATGTGGCTATGCATTTCCACTGGCCATTTGGCCGGTGGCTGTGCAAAGCCAATTCCTTCATTGGCCAGCTGAACATGTTCTCCAGTGTTTTCTTCCTGACTGTCATCAGCCTGGACCGTTACATCCACTTGATCCATCCTGTCCTGTCTCATCGGCACCGAACCCTGAAGAACAGTCTGGTTGTTGTTATAGTTGTCTGGCTTTCAGCGTCTCTGATTGGTGGTCCTGCCCTGTACTTCCGGGACACTCTGGAGCTCAGTAACCACTCCCTTTGCTATTACAATTTCCATGAACATGACCCTGATCTCATTTTTATGAGGCACCATGTTCTGACCTGGGTGAGATTTATCATTGGCTACCTTTTCCCTCTGCTAACAATGAGCATTTGTTATTTGTGTCTCTTCTTCAAGGTAAAGAAGCGAAGCATCCTGATTTCTAGCAGGCATTTCTGGACAATCCTGGCTGTGGTCATAGCCTTTCTGATTTGCTGGACGCCTTACCACCTCTTTTCCATTTGGGAACTCACGATTCACAACAATAGCTCCTCCCACCAGGTGCTACAGGCTGCAGTTCCCATCTCCACTGGCTTGGCATTCCTCAATAGTTGTCTGAACCCCATCCTTTATGTCCTAATTAGTAAAAAGTTCCAAGTTCGCTTCTGGTCCTCGGTCACTGAGAAACTAAAGTGCACACTGTGGGAAGTCAGCTGTTCTGGCACAGTCAGTGAGCACCTCAGGAACTCTGAAACCAAGAATGGGTTTCTTGTGGAAACAGCCCAGTGACTCACTGCTTTTCCAAAATTGCTGGGAGGTTTTTAAGCAAGTCCCCTGACAAATGCTCCCAAACGAAATTGCTTCTAAGATTTAGAGCTGACCATATTTGTGTTTGCTTTTGGTGAGTTTACTGGCCTCACATTTTTGTGTGAGTATAACTTTGGCAGGATATGCACAATTTTTTCCCCTGCAGCATAATTGACCTGTCATTCTTGCTAATTATTCCACAGTGGATTATCACCACCATTGAAGTACTGTCAGTTTTCTGAAAAAAAAAGAAAATATTTTTTTTGTACTGGGGATCAAACTCAGATCCTTACCCTTGCAAGGCAGGTGGCAAAACTACTGAGCTAAATCCCCAGCCCTTAAAAAATAATTTTAAGCCCCAAATCTTAAATATGTGAATAATGCATCAAATGTAGGGATCCATGCCTGCAACCCCAGGTGTTTGGGAGACTGAGGCAGGAGGATCACAAAGTCTAGGCCAATCTGAGCAACTTAGGGGGAATTTATATCAAAATAAAAGGGGCAGAGGATGTAGCTCAGTGGTAAAATACTTGCCTAGCATGTGTGAGACCCTGGTTTCAATCCTTAACACACACACACAAAAATAGTTGTTTGTTTAAAATCATGGTAATCAGTAACCTATTAGACATACTGTTAAAATACATGTGAGGCAGGAAGATTGCTGTGTTCAAGGCCAGCCTGTGCAACACAGTGAGTTCAAAGCTAGCCAGGACTAGTATTTCTTTTTTTGGTTTTTTTGAAACAGGGGCTCACTTATGTAGTTGAGACTGACCTGGAACTCACTATGTAGCCCAGGCTGGTCTCGAACTCACAGTGATCCTCCTGCCTCAGCCTCCCGAGTGCTGGGATTACAGGTGTGTGCCACCACGCCCGGCCTAGTGTAT